GGGACTACAGGCATGCGCCACCATGCCCGGCTAATTTTTTATATATATATCAGTTGGCCAATTAATTTCTTTCTATTTATAGTAGAGACGGGGTCTCGCTCTTGCTCAGGCTGGTTTTGAACTCCTGACCTTGAGCAATCCGCCCGCCTCGGCCTCCCAAGAGCTAGGATTACAGGCGTGAGCCACCGCGCCCGGCCTATTTTTATTATAAATATTAAATACATAAAAATAATATTTCTAACATGTGAAGGACATAAAGAATAATAAAACATCTGTGAACCCACCACTTTGCTTAAGAGCTAGAATATTACCAATCCCCTAGAAATACCTATGAGCCCCTCCAATCCCATCCCTGCCCTCCTCCCCTCTTCCACCTCCTCCTTCTCTTCCTTTTCCTCCTCCTCCTCCTCCTCCTCCTCAGAAGAAGAAGAAGAAGAATCCACCTTCCTAAATTTTTTCTATCACTTTCTCTATCACTCTTTTGCTTTTCTTTAGTTTTACCACATATGCTTGCATCCTTTAATATAATAACACGTGCCTCAATTCTGTATGTTTCTTCTCTTATTATTATTTATTTATCTTTGTAGAGATAGGTGATTTACTTTATACACTCAACTTTACGTTCATGCATCTTGATACATGTAGCTGCAAATTCACTCATTTTTGACTGCTGTGTAGTATTCTATCATATGAATATATCATAATTTATATATCTGTCTATTAATGGCTATTTGCGTTCCTTCTAGGGTTTGCTATTACAAAGAGAGATGTTATAAACACTTTCATATGTGTCTTCTTATGCCAAGATACAAAGTTTTCTTTAGAAGAAACTAGGAATGGAATTATAGGGTCACAGAATATAGTTATTGTTTGCTTTATATGTAATGCCAAATACAAACTCACCATCTACCACTAAAAACAAACTTGGCCAATCTAATAGGTAAAAATTAAATTGATTGTTTAAAATTGCATTTCTTTTATTACATTTATTTCATTATTACTTTTTTTTTTTTAAGAAGATAGGGTCTCACTATATTGCCCAGGCTGGAGGGCAGTGGCTATTCACAGGCACAATTATAGTGCACGATAGCCTCAAACGCCTGGGCTCAAGCGAACTTGAGCCTCTAGGTTAGCTAAAACTACAGGTGTGTGCCCCCACACTCTGGCTACATTATTGCCCTTTTTACAAAGCTGTTCAGTGGCCATTTGTATTCTTTCTTTTGTAGATTCTGTGTCCTCAATCCATTTTTCTGTTGGATTCCTGGTCTTTTTCTTTTTTCTTTTTTTTTTTTTAATTTTTTTTTATTTTGGCATATTATGGGGGTACAGATTTTAAGGTTTCAATAAATGCCCATCCTGGTCTTTTTCTTAAAGATTTTTCTTTTTCTTTTTTTTTTTTTTTTTTG